GCCCGGACATGGTTAAGAGATGGCACGATCATCTTGCCATGACCTCTAGCCCTTCGTCCTTCGTCAGTGGTCGTCACTCTCCCGGATCCGATCTGACCTCGATGACCCCTGTGTCCAACGAGGACTCATTCGACCCCTATGCCTACGCCACCGATTTCCGCGGATCTTCGATCATCGCTGATGAACTGGAAAGCACCACCGGCCAGCTAGAGTCTCACCTGAACGAGGCTCTCTCTCGCCTCCGTACTATGCGCCGCAGCGGCCGTCACCCTCGCTACATCACGTACGCCAAGCTGATTACTTCTGCGACGAAGATCAACCGCGTTGATCTGGTCCATGAGGTTTTGAGCATGGCTCGCCGTGATGTGCCTTTGCTTCCCCAGTACAATGCCGTCAAGTACGGTTGGGTTTCCATCTTGGACGCGATGGTGGCCTCGTGCCTGAGCCTGGGCGACCGCAGCCAGGCTTCCAAGTTCCACCAAGAGCTGCTGGAGCTTGGCTCTGCACCCTCGGCCAACACGTTCGGTCTTTACATCACGACCCTGAAGGAATCGACTAAGACATTCGACGAAGCGACCGAGGCTCTGAAGATCTTCCACCGCGCCGTTGCGGAGGGTGTTGAGCCCACATCTTTCCTGTACAACGCTCTCATCGGAAAGCTCGGTAAGGCTCGTCGGATTGATGACTGCCTGCTATACTTCGCCGAGATGCGCGCCAACGGAGTCCGCCCGACCAGCGTCACTTACGGAACCATTGTGAACGCTCTCTGCCGTGTCAGTGATGAACGGTTTGCCGAAGAAATGTTCGAAGAGATGGAGTCGATGCCTAACTACAAGCCTCGCCCTGCCCCTTACAACTCTATGATTCAGTACTTCCTCAACACCAAGCGCGATCGCAGCAAGGTCTTGGCCTACTTCGAGCGCATGGTCACTCGCAAGATCCAGCCCACGATGCACACCTACAAGCTGCTCATTGACGCCCACGCCTCTTTGGAGCCCATTGACATGCCCGCGGCGGAGAAGGTGCTTGAGACCATCAAGGCTGCCGGTCAGCAACCTGAGGCTGTGCACTATGCTTCCCTCATCCATGCCAAGGGTTGTGTGATGCACGATATGGAGGCTGCCATGGACGTCTTCCGTTCCGTGGTGTCGAACCGCAAGGTGCGCGTTCAGCCTTGTCTGTATCAAGCCCTCCTCGAGGCCATGGTCGCCAACCACCAGGTCGCCCGGTCCGAGGAGATTGTGAAGGACATGGCTGCTCGTCGGGTTGAGATGACCGCCTACATTGCGAACACTCTCATCCACGGATGGGCTGCGGAGGGTAGCGTGGACAAGGCCAAGACTATTTATGACAGCATTGGCATTGAGAAGCGCGAGCCCAGTACCTACGAGGCCATGACGCGTGCGTTCTTGGCATCGGATGACCGCGAGGGTGCCGCCCGCATTGTGCAGGAGATGCTCTCTCGGGGCTACCCCCCTGCTGTGGCCAGCAAAATCGCCGATTTGGTTGGGGCTGGTGGTGCCACTACCGTCCCTGCCGTCGCCACTCTCTAGAGTCGACGACATGAAAAGTTGCCTTCTATCTCGTTTCCGATCAATCTTTCGGTTGGTCGTTTAATACTATCTCCAGGGCTGGATCCCTGTCTTTGGGCTGACTCCAGCCGATGGTTCCGGATTGAACATATAAAAGGGGGCAACTTGATGACTGGGGATGGGTTGGATTTGCATCTAGCGTATGGCATTGGCGTTTACAGGAATGGGATTGGGCGATGTATATACCATCTTGTTTTGATTTCTTCTTTTTTTTTGTTTCTTTGATAGAATACTCCCACCTCCTCTAGTGTCTATGGAATGGACATATAAATGACTCACCAGGGAAAAGTGCTTAGGTGTACGTAGTGTGTAAGTTGTGAGGGGTTAAAATGAGTGATTAAACCGAGTGACGTGACCCGGCGGTGCTCTCCGTTTGCCCCGCCGTCCTCCGCATTCTCCCTCCGTCTTCCTCCCTCCCTTTCCTGCAATGCAACTTGATTAGTCGGTTGTGCCAGCATTCAGTCTATGTCTTTCGCTAGATTATCTCCACGCCTAACTGTTCTCCATCGTCATTGTCGTCTTTCTACTGGCCAAAGCCAATTTTCCACCACCTACCGTGCTCAATTCTCTATCAATACCATACGATCGGCCATGAACATTGACTCACCGGACGGGGTCAGGTCTCCCAGCGCCGCCGACCCCAAACACCCCAAGAAGCTCATCTGTACGTCTCTTGTGCTATCAACCTCATTCCCACCATCAAGCACACCCTCCATCCCCCCTCGCCGCAAATCCCATACTAACGTCCACAAAAGTCGCACCAGGCGACATCGAAACCCCTCCCCCTCCCCCAACCGATAAACCCCTCCCTCCCGCCGCCGCCACCCCCGAAGCCTCAGCAACCGCCAACAAACAAGCCACCCAAGAAGAATCCGCCGCATTAGCAGCCGCAACTGCATCTGCCGCATCGGCCCTGCGCACCGAGACCTCCACGCCCACGTCCGCCACCGAGCAAGACCTGGTGGCGCACGCGGCGCGCGCCCACCAATTCGTCTCGAACCCGCCGCTGACCGTCTCGCAGCTGCACCCGACCAACCCGCTGCACCAGTTCCACTCGTGGTTCCGCGACCCCCGGCTGCTGCCGGCCTCGGCGCCGGAGACGTGCACCCTGGCCACGGCGGCGTTGCCGTCCGGCCGCGTCAGCGCGCGTGTTGTGTACCTGAAGGAGCTGGATGAGCGCGGGTGGACGGTGTACAGTAATTGGGGCAGTCGGGAGGGGAAAGGGCGGGATGTTTTTGGGGAAACAGATGAAGAGGACGATGGGCCGCGGCCGATTCCGGAGCCGGGGGCTGGGGCTGTGGACGAGGATTTGCAAGGGGAGTTTGGGGGAGGCGGGGGCAATCGCTGGGCGGCGTTGACGTTCCTTTGGTCCGGGTTGGAGCGGCAGGTGCGCGTCGAGGGCCTCGTGGAGCCGCTCTCGCGCGAGGAGAGTGAGCTGTACTGGCGCACGAGGGAGAGGGGCAGCCAGATCGGCGCGTGGGCCAGTTGGCAGAGCAAGGTGCTGTGGCGCGCGGAGCCGGAGACGCTGCTGGAGCGGCGCCGTAAGAGTCTGGATCCCACGCTGCATCAGGTGCCAAGGAATGTCGAGGAGAGGGATATCGACGATGGGCGCGCGGTGTTGGAGGAGCGCGTGCGCGAGGTCGAGCGCCGCTTCGAGGGCGTTAAGGAGATTCCGCTGCCGCCGTTCTGGGGCGGTGTGCGTCTGGTGCCGGAGTCCGTGGAGTTTTGGCAGGGTAGGAAGAGTCGCTTGCATGACCGGTTCAGGTATGTGAAGGTCGGGGAGGAGGTGGGGGCTCCTAGATGGCGGATTGAGCGGTTGTCGCCGTAGATTTGGGGAGATTTGGGAGCATTAAACGAAGAGCAATGCGTTAGATGAGATGAGATTATGGTTACGATACAGTGCATGAGGTATAGCCATGAAGACTCGATGCTGTTTTGGTCTTGGTACTCTTTACGTTCTCTCTACAACTGATTCTCGAGTTGTCAATAATATGGACAGAAGGTGGGTGAACTGTAGGTCCACGTTACGTCGAGCATCTCCCAATGCGGCAACATGGATCGATCAGATAAGATAGAGAACCTCCGATAACCAACGCCCCCTTGTCGGCGCGCCGGCTCTCTCCCTCCATCAACAAATCCATAATCTCTATGCGTATACAATGACCTTTGACCCTTGTTGACTAATATCCATATTTCTATATACCCATCTATACTACCCAGACATACAAATCGCAAAATGCCCGACCCATCCCCCGACCCCACACCTAAACCCACCACCACCACCACGACAACCCCCGGCTGGATCCTCCTCGCCCTCTCCAGCGGCGCCTTCGCCGCATTCAACGGGCTCTTTGCGAAACTGTAAGCCCTGTCCTGTCCCCACCACTATCCCCTCACTCCATAACACCCCCCCGAAGAAGAACGAGAGGAGGACTAATGTTTGGCGACCAATAGAACAACCGACACCCAAACCACCACCTTCGCCGCCTCCCTCCTCCACCTCGTCGGCAGCACCACCACCAACCCCGATGACCATCCGATCTTGATGCTGGCTATTCGAGGGGTGCGTCACCTTACTCCTGCTCTGCCCTGCCCTGCCCTGCCCTGCCCTGCCCTGCCCTGCCCTGCCCTGCCCTGCCCCAATCTCATTCCTGGATCCTTTCCCATGTCCCCATGCCCCTCCCCTGCCCACCTCCTCCTCCTCCTCCTCTCCCACAGATCCGATCTCGATACAGTATATCGAACCCTCCGCGTAAACAAACACCAAGCTAACTCCCTCCCCCGCCTCCACCGGGATTACTGGAGCGTTAATAGATCTGCCTCGCCCTCAACATCCTCTGCAACATCATCATGTGGGCGCTATTCACGCGGGCGCTGACGGCGTCGCCCTCCACCACCAAGGTGTCGATCACCAACACCTCGGCCAATTTCCTGGTGACGGCCGTGTTGGGGATGGTGGTGTTCCGGGAGGCCGTGGGCGGGCTGTGGTGGGTTGGGGCGGCGATGATGGGGACGGGGTGTATTATTGTGGGGATGAGGGAGGAAGGGTCGGGGGGGTCGTAGAGGGGGGGTGGGGGGTTCTTCCTTTTGGGCTCTATAGGGGAAGGAAGGGGGAGGGGGGCTTTGGGGTTATTGTTCGTGAGGTTGTTGGTAGCTAGCTGGCTGGCTGGCTAGCTAGCTATACTGTACATGTGTTCGAGATGGTATGATATCTTACTCTTTGGTGGTTTTTGAGCAGATATTTACACGGGAGATGGGATATGGGCTTGTAGAGGGAAGGTGTTGCAATCAAGGTTCATTCTGGAGTGAGTATGGCTAGATCAGTACATTGTGATAACTTCAGTGCAAGCAATGTTGCAAGTTACGACCGTGACTTCTCGTTGATCAATAAATCTAATATATTCGTATGTACTCTATACAACACTGCTTTCATCTATCTTCTAACTCCATCGGATCGTGCGGGTAAGAAGAAGACGATGCCGCTCCTTCCGGATGGTCGCTGCCAGCCGAAGCTGATGGTCGGGACTCCGACCTACGACTGCCCAGTCGGATCCGCGAGGCTCGCTCCCAGGAGAACAACGACCCTACCTGCTGCATCCAGGTCCACAATCGTTCCTCCAGCGTGTCGCTCGCGCGAGGATTCGACGCCCCTCCAAGGGAGAGCTGCGGGGGACTGGTCGCTGCCAGGGCCTGCTCTTCAGCCTCAACCTTGAACTGATATTTGAGGCAGTCCTTGACGGTGACCAGGCCCGTAAGGCGGCCGCGGTGTTCGACCACGATGACGCGCGGGCCCATCTTCTTGAAGATCTCCATCACGGTCTCAAGGGGAAGCCGGGGATGGACAGTCAGCGGGGTGTGATCAGCGTATCGGCTCAAGTCCACAATGCTTGCACCGGCGTTAGAGTGAATGTCATCGAAGGTTTCGGGCGCCAGGTGCTGCGAGGCGGAGGTAGAAGCCGCCGCCGCCGCTCGGCGAGCGATGGCGGCTTCCGCGGCTTCCTTGGTGAACACACATGTCGCATTGGGAGAGAGCAAACCCTCAGCTTTGGCACGGTCAATCCCGTATCGCAACTCCGTACGACCGATGTATCCAACTAGGGTCTTATTTGTCCGGTTCTCGACAATGGGAAAGCCTTGAAATTGATTGTCGTTCAGGAGATGCTCCGCTTCGCGAACAGGAAACTCAGCTGCAGGGAGGGAGACTGGATCGGCTGTCATGGCTTGGGACACAGGCACATTGAAAACATGGTCCTCCTTAGTGTCAAGGAAGGGGAAGCCATTGGCCCAAATCATGCGATCTGCGATGCCACCATTTCCGAAGCAATCACCAACGGCCTTAGTGACTCCGACCACAATCTTCTTTACGTTAGCTATACTCATACTCCAGGTCGTACATTCGAAAGACTCACCATGGTTGGAAGGATGTAGTTCAGCGCGCCTGTTAATTCGAACATGATGACAGTCACTGAGATAGTCAAATGCATGATACCACTCAGAGCTGCTCCTGCTCCTAGGAATGCGTATGTGCCCGGTGTGATGCATGGGATGTCAGGCTCACAAGACGCGAAGAATTGGGATTTGGGGTACGCCTCATGCAAAGCTTGCACCAAAATGCCGACAAAGCGGCCAAATGATGCCCCGATGGCCATCGAAGGCACAAAAATACCGGCGGGCACTTTGCAGCCATACGATATGATAACCAAGAAGATACGAAGGATTGTAGCCACGGCCAGAGACCCCACCATCGTCCACCGATTCTTGGCCCTGTTCCCAAGTCAACAACAAGTCAGAGCAAGGAAGATGTGAGACTCACTCGCAGAGACCGTTATAGTCATGGCCACCCTCGCATTCACGGAACAGAATTTCCATCATTTCCGTCATGTTGATCCTCAAAAACATGTTCGGGTAGCAGAGAACAGCCGTCAAGCCTGCAAGAATGACCGATTCCATGACCGCATGCTGCGAGAGATACTTCTTCCTAAAGCCTTGGACCCGGAGGTTCCACTTTATAACAAGTGCCCCGTACAGTCCACCAAAAACGCCAATCAAGACAAAAAAGATCAATTCGAAGAAGTGCCAGGTTCGGTCATAATGCACCTGGAACATGACTAGTTGTCCAGTTCGGAAGGGGTTCATCATCTGCCAGCCAAGTCAGTAGGACTGCCTTCGTCTGAGAGCTGTGGATTACATACCGCCAACACTCCTGTGGCCACCAAGGCACAGAAATAACTGCGCCAGAGGGTCTTGAGCGGGAAATAGTTCGCTACCTCCTGTGCATTGTAAGTAGACGACACTTTTGGCCAAGTCAAGAGTCCTACCTCGAGAGAGAAAAGCACGCCGCCGATCGGACTACCGAACGCAACTGCCACACCCGCCGCCGCAGTCGCTGTCAACACCTCCCTTGTCTTCGCGGCATTTTGTTTGTATTTCTCAAAGAGGCGTGAGATCACATTGCCGGCACAAACGGCAAAGTGGACACTTGGTCCCTCCTTGCCCACAGAAAGACCGGATGCGATAGCCAACGGAAGTGCAATTGACTTGATCAACAGTGTCCATGCCCCCAGAAAGCCCTTCATGACAAACCCTGCAATGATACATTTGATTTCGGAGATTCCGGAGCCTGCGGCGTACGGTGCGAACGACTTAACAAGACTTGCGGCGATGAAAGCGAACAGTACCTCGAGGCAACCTTCAGCGACGCTCTAAACACGAGTGCAATAAGGCCAACATACCGCATAAAAAATGTAGATGATATAGTTCACGAACGAAAAGGACGTCCAGGGCTTCCACTCGGGACAACCTATAGTAAGAATGAGCTCACATTGGCCGATGCGACAGGAGCGACAACAGCGACAGCGTACCTCCCTCCGCACCCCAGCAGCAAAACTGCTCATTGAGATAGAACGCAGTCGTACAATGGCCCAGTTTGATATCGGACAACCACTCCGTGATGATGTTCAGCAAGGCCGAGATCAGGCCGATCACCGCGCCGACAATTGTAATCACGACCCAAGCTTGCCCAGCGTTATAGGATTCGCGCACCTTGCGTCTCCACCCAAAAGTGCCTTCTTGGTCCCAGAAGCCAAAGCCGTCTCGCCGTTTCGCTCGCCGTCGGGACTGTTCGTGGATCGCATCCTGGACCCAGTCGATGGTGGTGAAGTCCTCGTATCTCTTGATCTCGCTGATCTCCTCGGTGATGGCGGGGGCATGGCCGTTGGCCGTGGACGGGCGTTCATCGACGGGTGATGATAGAACAGATAAGCCTGATAACCTCCTCCAGTTCCGCCGCTCAGCCAAGACTGAGGGTGGATGGGCCGAGGTGGATGAGGCAGGTATGGAGTTCATTCCATCGGTTGAGTCGGCGACAAGAGCATGATCTGGCTTTGGCGTAGATCGGAGATGATTGCGACGGATGAGTATGGAAGAGTAGAGAGAGCTCCGTAGATGCGCGGCCGCCGCCCACGTGAGAGAGACGATAACAAGATGGAGGTGGAAAGGAGTAGGGATTCTTTCCGCTTTGGGGTACGGTACTATTAAACCTTTAACTTGTGAAGCGAGAAGACAAAACAATAATTATGATTTCTAGGGACGTACTTGGTAAATTGCCAGAGCTACACTTGTTCAGACGATTAACTACAGAGACACAAGTTCATAAACATACAGAAAAAAAAGAACCAAGTGCGTCCCACTCCACTGATCTATTGAGGATCATTCTTGGAGATTGGACCAAATTTCCACTTCCGCCACGCGCGGTGGGTTTCAAGGCCCGCGCGCGTCGCTATCGTCACCCACTCCGCCTCCGCAGACCACTTTCTCAACACCAGCTCACACAAACGTATACCGATCTATATAGTTCTTCTCTGAAGCTTCAAACCATACCGTGAGCTGCTCATTGCTGTTTTCCTGAGGGGAAAATTCCCGACGCGCCTGCACAATGCCTCCCAAAGACAAATCTGCGGCCGAGTCTTCGGCCTCCCAAGAGATCACCGGCCAGAGCGCTCTTCCCAGTATGTGGACAAGAAATCTCTCCAGCCGGCTTTGACTGATCATACTTGACAGTAACGCGAATTAAAAAGATCATCCAGCTCGACGAAGATATTGTTCAGTGCTCGAGTAACGCCACGTTCGTTATTGCTATGGCTACGGTTCGTGCTTTGTCTCTTCTCTCGGTGGTCTCATGGAGGCACCTTCGGCTCACATATTGTCCCATGTCATGCAGGAAATGTTTATCCAATACCTCACCGAACAAGGCCATAATGTCGTCAAGTCGGAACGGAAACCACGCAAAACGATTCAATACAAGGACCTTGGTTAGTAGCAGAGAAGATCCTGACCCAAATACAGTGCAACAGGCTGACAGTTCTGGCCATAGCTACGGCGGTGTCGCGCATCGATAACCTCGAATTCCTCTCCGACGTGATCCCCAAGACAACAACGTACAAGCAATTCAAGGAGAAGCGGGCCAAGGAGGCGAGCAGAGAAGCCGGATACGAAAAGGGACAGCGCACCTTGAACGGCAGTATACCTCCGGCGCCAGAAGGAAAGCCCGAGGTAGACAATAACGAAGAGACTCAACCGGGCTCAGATGACAAACTATCAAGGGGTTCTCGACCACCAACGGTGACAATGATGGTGGATCGAACGGTAGAGGCCTCGACAGAGGATGAAGATGTAGAAATGGCCGACCAGTGACTGTGGCATATGATCACAATCTGATGGAGCATTGCATGGCATTGGGGAGTTCTTTGGGGGTCCGCTTGGTAACAAAATTGGTTGATTATTGTTCTTTTTTCTTTTTTCTTCTTATCTCTTCATTATTGGTCCAAAGCAATCGGACCTCTTCATTTGGTCTCTGGTCAACCGCATTGGGAATCTGGATAATAGCATTGGACGGGGCGGGATCGGGACGGACAGGGTGACAACTAATAGCATTGCACCAGAGTCCAGCGCAGTGCAATAGCTGGGTCAAGCATTGTATATACTCATTATATTGAATAAATGGCGCATATGAAGGATTGTCTAACAACGACTGTAATAATACCTACTTCTCATCATGCAGTACATAGATACCAATGATAGGTAGATTGGACGACAATCAAATGGCCATACGTCAGGTGAGATCCTGACTAAGACGGGTGCTGCGGGCCAATGAAATGCGCCGTGATTCCGATCGCTTGCCGTAGCGAAAGCTCTGGTTCGACTTTCCGTATGAGTGCCGGGCCTCCGACTTCAACCTCCAACCTCAAGGAAAATCAAATCCTCCTCCGATCTCCTCCCCGGATATCTCTCTTTCCTCCCCCCCCTCCTCCACTCCCCACCCACCACTTTCTTAGCGGTCCCCTTCCTTATCCTCGCAATTGACTGTGCAATTGCCTCCATTCGCCATGTCTCTCGCCTCCGCTTCCAACTCCGTCCTGCGCGCCTGCGCTCGGCAACAACTCACCACTCCTCGCGCCGCCATCGCCTCCTACCAGCAGCGGAGGGGAGTCTCCAATGCCAGATCCAGCTTCGCCAGCCCCTTCACCCCCGCCGCGGACTATGACCAGACCGTGAAGATCCCCGACTTCAGCAAATACTCCTCCAAGAAGGGCCCCCGCTCCAACCAGGTCTTCTCCTACTTCATGGCTGGTTCCCTCGGTCTGGCCTCTGCCGTCGGTGCTAAGGCTACCGTTCAGGGTGGGTGACTCCGACTCTTCTCAATGTTTCGCATATGAGCTTGGACTTGTGTGGGAGGACGGTGCACAACAACTGGAGGGAATCAACGACTTCGATGGATGGGATTCATGGGCTGGCTTGCCTTGCCGCTCCGATCATTATCGCTGACGTGGGATCATATCAATAGACTTCCTGGTCAACATGTCCGCCTCTGCCGACGTCCTCGCCCAGGCTAAGGTTGAGATCGGTCTCGCCGCTATCCCTGAGGGCAAGAACGTATGTCTCCACTCCCCTACTACCCGGCCGGGTTCGCCCTCGTGCGACTGTGGTATCTGACCGCTGTTCCCCCGCATACAGGTTATCATCAAGTGGCGTGGAAAGCCCGTCTTCATCCGTCACCGTACCCAGGATGAGATTGAGGAGGCCCAGAAGACTGAGTGGCAGTCTCTTCGTGACCCCCAGGCTGATGAGGACCGTGTCCAGAAGGCTGAGTGGCTTGTCATGCTTGGTATGTGCATCCCGTCGCCGACGACCACCTCAACTCGATCCCTAACCCTCTCCTCTTGCGTCTAGGTGTCTGCACCCACTTGGGTTGTGTCCCCATCGGTGAATCCGGTGACTTTGGCGGCTGGTTCTGCCCCTGCCACGGTTCCCACTACGACATCTCCGGCCGTATAAGAAAGGGTCCCGCTCCCCTCAACCTCGAGGTTCCCCAGTACAACTTCCCCTCCGAGGACACCCTCGTCATCGGTTAAACGGGACCCCGACCAGAAATCGAAACTTCATGTGCAATTAAGGGGTGAAGTGCGCTTTCCGCCAGCATAGAAAGAGCAGGCTAGCCAAGCAAACCCTTTTTTTTAGAGCGCCAGGGAAGGAATGACGGAGAAGGTTTGTGTGTATGTACGCGTGTGTTGTGTCTGTATGTGCCTGTGCTTTAGATGAAATCCTCTTTTTCTTATCTCTTTTTTTGTTCTCTCCGTCTTTTGTCAAGATATAAAGAGACCTTGTTTTAATATGGGATCCCGATAAAAACCGAGCCTCTTGTTTCTTTTGTCATCCTCATCGTTTCCAAGACATCACCATCACAATTTGCCACTCACTTGCCTTGATTCTCTGGGTCCTTAATCCTCTGGATATCAGGTTTGGGCATCCTCGGAGCTTCGAACGGCCACTCCTTGATACATGTGTAATCTTCTTTGCTAAACCTGCCATTCAATAGACAAACAAGAACATAACCACCGTTACAGGCTTTACTAAACCAACCTTCCCTCCCCCTCCCCACACCCGCTATATCAAAGTCGTTTGTTGATACGGGAAAAAAAATAATCATCGCTTTATTTATGTCTTGGGAGGTCTTTATACAAATACATACACAAGAACGTCCATTTCAGCACGGTGCAACGGTACTTCTCACTGTGGACGAATGAAGAACGCTAGCAGCCCGATGACAGCTGCACCAGCGGCAGCGCTCTGGATGGCAAGGACAGAGTGATCCCGCTGGGTCATGGTGATCTGGCGATCACTGAAAAGGTCTCGGAGATAGCGGCGCGAGGATTCGATGAGGGTTGCGTAGGGAGGGATGCGGGAGTAGTGGGTTTTGCAGGTCTGGAGGACATTTTGTAGTTTGTTGTTGGTGGTGTTGTTGTTTGAGACGGGAGGTGCGGCCTGGGTTTCGGTCTCGGGCAGTACCGGAGCGGACGCCGGGAGGGCTGGGTTGGTCTCTTGCTCGTTCGGGATAGCTTCGCTGGCGGCGATGGCGGCGGTGGCCTCCTCTGTTGTTGAGGCACCTGCTGAGGTTGCTACGGGGTCAGCAGCAGCAGCAGCAGCAACAGGCTCGGATTCCGCCCTGCTGGCCGAGGCGGATGCCATCTGCTGGGAGAATTCGGTCTGCAGGTTCAGGATCTGCGCCTGGTTCAGGGTCTTTTCCTTCTCGATGGCCTCGATGACCTTCTCCTCGAAGCCCTTGACCAGCCGCTTGCGGCGCCAGGGTTCCACGGCGATCTGGAAGATCAGGAACAGGAGCACGTTGACCCCCATCAGGCCCCAGGTGCCCCAGGTGCTCATGCGGCGGATCTTGTCCGACCAGACCTGCTCCTCGTGGTAGCGCGACAAGATGCTCTTGTTCAGCTGGGCGGCGGCCTCCTCGGCCTCGTGCTCCGCCGCGGTCAGGGCCTGCTGCGCTTCGTTCTCGGCCACTTCGTTGGTGTGGTCGTTGCGGTACAGGTGGGTGAACCGCTCCAGGTCGGCGGCCGACCAGGCGTGCTTGCGCTGCAGGAGCTCGTTGACCTCGCGCTGCGAGGTCGATCGGTTATTGATGGCGGCGGCGTAGGCGTCCTTGGCGGTGCGGACTTGCAGGCGGGCGGCTCGAAGTCGTTCCTCTGTTTGTCAAACGAAAAGTGAGGTTAGAAATCTTGGACTGGTGGTGGGGTCTTATGTCTGGAAGACTGTAGCTTTTTCTCGTACCTTGGAATTGGATGTCCTTCTTCAATGCCTCAATCGCGGAGTAGCCCGTCAGGTCGTTCAGTCGCTGCCCGGCCACGAAGATGTTCGATTGGAGGTTGTCCATCACGACGCTGAACTGTTTGGCGAATTGCGACCGTCGGTTCTCCAGGTAGGATGGGAGACCCCCGGGCTGCGACCCAGATCCCGCGGCGTCTGCGCCAGCATGGTCTTCCTGTTTCTTTCCCTCTCGCTCCGCTGCTTCGGGCCCAGCGGTGGTTGACGTCTGTTCTTCTGTAGGAGCAGCAGCGGCGGCGGCGGCGGCGGCGGGACTGTCTCTCCCCGCATCCGACTCAACATGTGGGTTCTGTTCAGGGATAGCTGATGGCGGCGGCGGTGACGGTGCCGGGGTGTCTTTGGTGGGAGGGGCTCCCAGGATAATCACGTCTTGCTTCTTCTCCGATTCATTCGACGAGTACACCGAGGTTTGCGTCCGGAATTGGCGTTGCAGGCAGGTCGAGAAGCTCCGGGGTGTTTTTGTCTCTCGGCCAGGACAAAGAGCCTGCGGGACGACACCGGCGGGCAGTAGTCGTAGCAGCGGTCTTCGCACCGGGCGGGAGGAGGTGGTAGTAGTAGTAGTAGTGCGGCTAAGACCCTGGAAGCTGGACCGGATTGACTGCCTGAGCAGCAATGGCATGGACTGCATGACCGCTGCTGCTGCTAGGGCTAACAACAGGGGGCCAATGCAGATGCTGTATCTTCGTCGTTGTCGTTGTCGGTTTGCTTGGAGGTCGGACGAGTCACTCGGCTCAGATTCATTCCTCAGGCTTGTTTGTCCGGCCGGCAGCCGGGAAAGAAGGCGGTCATGCGGAAACGCCGCGCTTCTGCGGGCTTCTGGTGGACACTCCCCTCTCTACTAACTTACTTACTAGTACGCGGACGGATTATGCGGTGAGAGGGACTTTTGGGGAGGGGTTTGAGTTTCTTGGTAGAACAATGGTGGTCTATGACCCTATAGCTACTTTGAAAGCTAATGCTAATAATATTCTCCTGGTTTATCTTCACAACAAAACATTAAAGAGCCAGATCAGCGAGCGGCCCCCGAGACGGGCCCGAAAGTTAGTGACCGCGCTGATCAAAGACAGTTAAGCAAATACATATAGCACATTGTCATTATCCATTACCATTCGTTGTAAGCAGGTGATCGTAGCTTGTGATTCGTAAGGCCTGGTGGGAGGAAAAAACCAACAGTATGTAGGACTGTGGAGACAATCCTTTTACTGGCCTTTCCCTAGCAGCAGCAGTATTTCGAGACAACAGACAGCAAGTTGCGAGGCAACTGCGTTTGTCCTGGTCTCATTCAGGCTTGGCCTGTTTGATGGTCTTGTACTTTGTGGTCTCCCTTCACTGCTTCGGCGTATGTGGGAGGTGGCCGCGCATCGGCGTGATCCCGGCTGCTGCTACCGCCGCCGCCGTCGCCTCCAGAAGCATGTTCGTGCTGTTGGTGAGGTGCAGGATGTTGCTGGTGAGGCTGAGCGTTCGCCGCGTAGGGTTGTTGCGGAGGCAGGGTCCCATAGCCCCGTTGGGATGGGTGCTGGATGGGTTGATGGGAGACATAGTAATATGTGACGCGACCGTTCTCGACGTCGCCTCTGTGATTCTCGGGGAGGGGCGCATAGCTGGGGTCATCATAGTCTGGCTCGGGATACTTGAGAATGATATACCAGGCGTGCAGGAGGCCCGGGATATAGGCGAGACAGCAGAGAGCAAGGTTGATGACCGAGTCAGCCGTACAGAGGCCTACTTTGATCCACACTGGACGCACGGTGTTAGTTCTTGATCTGCGGTTAGCACGGAGTCATGACAAGGTCTCTGGCTCACCCGCAATCGGAGGGAAGAAAATGGCGAGGATCGCTAGAAAGATGTCTGAACCACACATGTTCGCAGGTTGGTCGCAATGGTAGAGTCACTGGTAATGGGACGAATGCCTGATCATGCAAGTAGGATTGTATAGGATTGTATAGTAGCTAGAGAGGATCAACCTCAGACACGCGTTTGTTGTTCTGGTGGATCACAGTCAAGGTGTATTGAAAATCAGTGGTGGAGTGATGGCAGGACGGATGGATGCCTGCTGCAGGCTCGCGATCAGATGACGTCGTCCATGCCACTCTATCACCTGACATAGCGGGCAGTTCTCGATGCTGTTGTTTTTTAACAGTCAGCCTCGGCCTTCCACAACAGCATGAACAACATGAACAACATTCACTAATCTCCATCGTCTTGTACTCTACCACTAAAAATCTGATTCGCTCGACAGTGAAAGCATGGGACATATCCATCCATTTGTGATGCTACAACTCTCTTGTCAACTGGTGCTAACTATACTCATAGTCAAGAGTCGCTGGCTATAACCTATCCAGTCATGAGACATACTTCCTCATGTCGCACAATATAGATACACCGCTGGGTATATGATATGGACGATATTTAGTGTTGTATAAAATAGATCTTTTCTTCGTCTGACTCGCGGGCGCGGAAAGCAATTTCGGACCCACGGCGGCGAGGTATATATAACCAGCTTTTGCGCATGAGAATGGACCCGTGCCTCTCGAAGATTGGGAGTAAATACAGTATGATCAACAGGCAACCTATCTCAGGAAGTCAGTGACGCTACAACCCAGATAATCAGTTCTTTCCCTTCCGATATCACTGCCCAAAGCAGGGCGTCACCATCGTCTTAAGGTAGATTTCGGGGCCGAGCTCTGTTGCAGTGGCGGAGACCCAAGGACCCGCCTCGAGAAATCTAGAGTTCACAACATCTACACATATGATAACATGTCGGGAGAATCACCCGACATCAATCCTTATAAGTCCGGGGATTGTCTTTTCCACTGCTGGGTCTTGATCTGAATACGAGGCTCGGGTAGATCTGCGGAATAAATGGAGGAATCTGTGAGGCATCTCATGGCGGTCTGAATCTGCTCGCACCCATCCAACTGTCATCTGGAACCAAGCATAGTACTGCACGATCCGAAAACCACGGCTTACAGCCACCTTTATTCCAGACCGAGACAATATCCAATTGACAATGAATAGTCAGGCGACACCAAGCTCCTTACATCCTTTGGGTCTACTTTACTATGGTGTAGTTTATCAGAGACCGCTATACAAGACGCAAGGGTTAGGTGCTCGCAGAAACTCGAATAGTGTTGACATGGTAGGTGGTCTCTGGCTGGAACGGCTCTACTGCCAGCAATTGGCCGGGAGTTGAAGGCTGGACTGCATAGCCAAAAGTTAACCTAGCCAGAGAGGCTACCTTACGTGGTGAAATTGAGGAAGCAGATCGTGGACAAATCTCTGTCGATGTCATGACTTGGATTGTGAGCTATCGCAAATCGCGATCGGCCCAACAGCGGCAGTGTCAAGCAACCTAGCATTCCTAGTGGCTGACGTACAATTAGCAATCGAATCTGAAACAGCCTAATGAGCTCCGAGAATCACTTGAATAGATGTGTATCATCAAGTCTTTATCAGTTGGACTGAAGACATCATCAATGGGCGATCATAGCCAGGTCAAATGGTGAACAAGTAACTTAATATACCTCCCCGTAATTAACAGATCAATATGGAGGCTTCCATATCCGACCCGCCGAGTCCCGACCCCCGGGCCCAAAAGGGAGCCTTCCATCTTAGGGCTAGAATGATAATTACCTATCTAGCGTACCACAGGTTGGAGTTCTGGTTCAGGCTTCGTTCCCGTGTTTGTAGTCCCGACTCCCTACTGAATTGTGCTGTTGTAGGTACGGATACTTCGTAGCACCTTAGTCAATAAATGCCTGGCTACCAGGGTGTGGAACGCCATGCGGACCTTTTTTTGCATGCTGGCTCAACCCAGGGTTGTAGACAGGAACAATTCATCAGCAAGGTGGATCATCATCAGATTGACTGTAAATGCCCATCTCAGTTCATGCTTCTGGCACTAACAGCCTCACAAGGTCGAGGTGTGCCACGTCAGTTGGAAAAATACCTTCCAGTGACTTGCCATGCATCACAGAACCTTCCTAACCATCCGGATGATAAAGTTTGCGGTTCCTGCATCTGTCTTCTCTCCTCTCTTCTCTCTCAATTTTCTGCTCGCATCTTGACATTTAGGCTTTTGTTGAGCGTCTGAAACGAGCTGTATACAATCACTTAAATTCCGGTGGTGTCTCAAACCCCGCGACGACGAATTGTGCGGACTGAGTGCGCACTCAGAATTATAGGATACGCCGAGGATCGTTGCAGTCAAGACCCAAACGTATGTGTTCTGCGATTGTTCTTTGTCTGGACTCTGGAGCCGGTGATGGGTTCGATCTACCTCGAAGCTCACTTCCGGATAGCCTGTGGAGCTCGAAGCTGGGGGGCCTCTCGATCTAATTCTGATTCGATAGGAACCTGCTCCCTGCCAGCCCGACTTAACTCGATCGGTAACAGAAACTGTTTTGTTCCTGGATGTGGAGGGACTGAATTTGAGCGCTTGTGCTGTGGATGCAGGTTGAATTGAGAAGACGCCGGCTGCTTTCGCGAACCGCCCGCGCCAGAACCCCCTTATTGACTTCAGTAGTCTATTGACTCTTGTCAGTCCCCCAACTCCCAATAGGTTGGTGATTGCACTTCCTGAATTCTTCAAACCCTGCGCGCTCCCCATCGTTCGGATCTCAATTACTGTTGCCCTTTTTTCGATCGCATAAGTTATCGATGGAAGGTCTTTACTAGCTATTTTTAAGTGTGACGAGCGACTTTGTTTTCCTCCAGCGGCTGTCGAGTGAGGATGCCGGGAGGGGAAAGCACGGCCACCGACTCCAAACTAGCCTGGAGGTTCAAATCAGCTCTGACTCGTGCTTGCCTTCTTACTTCACATCCACTCTTTGTCTTCAAGTTACCCTTTTCTCATCAATTCAGTTGTCTACTGAATTTCTAGCCCTCTTCTCTCTGGACGACCTCAATTGACCCGTTAGCCTTCAGATTCTAGTCGCTCGTTTGACCGCCGGCTTTTGAGGCAGATTGGGTCTAGCCCATTTGCCGTCGTGCTATCATTTTCGCTTCCCCAGCTCTCCGCAAATCCCCGTGTTTCTCTAGTCGAGACTTCATTTCCTGCAAGCGTCCTAGTTGGAAGTCCGTGTGCGCGTCGAAATTCATCATCGAATCGAACAATCCCAGCCAGGTCCAGCTCTGACGGCGTGCAACAGGAAGCGACGAGAAAACCATGGGGCGCGATTGCTGATATACTGCCCCCCAAAGACAAAACCGCAAACTGGATTTGAGTCTGTCATACGCTCTCTAAACACCACACCAGCCCTGTATACACACCTACGGGAGAGCGCGGTTGAGTGCTGCAACGATGTCTAGCACATGCATCTCACTCTCGGGTTCGACCCAATGCCCTGCGTTCAATACCTCCTCTATATCAACCAACTCAAGTCTCTATACGGATTTGTACGTATGCCCAGCTGTTATGTGAAGTACAGTGATATGCTAAGCGCTCCCTAGTCCATTCATGCAATATGTCTCCAACTTAACGCAGTTCGACCAGGAGCTGAATACCTATGTTATGCAGTCTTTTGTGAAGTCAAAGTGAGCCTGCCCAGCCCTCTATGCTACCAACTCAAAATTCTCACGAGTCCCTCTCTCGGCAGATACGTGGATTATCTAGGATGCGAAGGTGCCAACCTCACTGACACTAGCGACTTTTATGCCCGCTACACCACAAGTGTGATCTGCAGTAGCTTGGTCCAAAGCTCAAAAGACGACTGCAATCTCTCTGTTCAGGATTCGAGACCGCTTTGCGCTGACGCCTGCGTTAGACTCTCATTTGACCAGGACATGTTGTTTGCATACTAACATAGAATAGGCTCAGATGGCTGAAAGCGAAGAGGCCATAATCACCGACTCCGACCTTTGTCCTGAAAGGGCTGACGACTACATGGCCCAGATTCGGTCCGACTTCACCATTTGCGCTCTTCCTGCTGACTCAATCACCGTGAGCTGCGTCGCCGGAGCTGACAATGAGCCGGAAAACTGTGGATTTCGGTCCAATCTTTTGGGGCTGTGTGCGCATTGCAAAACGAGCTCGACCAACACCACCGACTCCTGCTGCGAAAGCGCAGGAGCAGCTACCCGATGCTCGAATGTAACCGTTCCCTCTTCAACGATAACACCGATTTTTACGTCGACGTCAACATCAAATTCAACAGCTGGTGCTTCGGATGGCTTATCTGGTGGAGAGATTGCAGGTATTGTGATAGGATCCGTGGCGGGGCTTGCTTTACTGGCTGCCCTCGCCCTACTCGCTTTCATCTGCTTGCGCCGCAAGCGCAAGGCGCGTGATGAAAGTGGCCTCAACCAGCCGAACCCACAACGGAAGGGGTCTCCATCAATGCAACAGGCCCAGGTAAACAATGGCTATGCTGCCATTCCTGGAGGACGAGTCGCTCGAATGTCTGCTTTGCGCGAGGTGCCCAGTTCATCACCGGCACGATCCCGTCTTTCGGCCGCCTTATTCGGGGGCGGAAAGTACAGCGACTCTTCCGACTCAGAGTATGGTGCAAGCCCGGGTGCTATGTCCAAGAAAATACCCCCAACAACTGGCAAGCGTCACGGCTCGCTATCTAGCAACTCAGCCTTGGCTGGTATGGGCACTGATAGCTCACCGCGCTCAATGGGAGCCGGTCACTACTCGTCACCTGAAGGCGTGACAAGCGGACAGTCGGAGCAATTGTCTTCTTTCCAGGACTATTATTCGCCGGATGAGATACATCCCGGTGATAAGGTGGCCGTACTATGGGCATATCAACCTCGAGCAGGAGATGAATTCGCACTGGACCGAGGCGAGATGCTGAAGGTGATCGGTATATGGGATGACGGATGGGCTACCGGCGTTCGCATCCCCGAGAGCGTCGATGACCAAGACGCTAGACACCGTGAGCAGCGCGATAGCGGTGTCTCGAATGGCACACAACGGCCGGCCCCTTCTCCGCCTCCGCTAGGAGAGATCAAGGCATTTCCACTCGTCTGCGTATGCCTTCCGCAACATTGGCGCAAAATCATCGACGGCGGCCACGCGGAAGAGGATTGATGAGACTTCAAAGCTATTACTCTGGTCCAGGTGCGCAGCCTTATAGGCCTGTGTTACTTCTAGCTTGGTCTTCCGTGCGCGCTTGATTTGAGATTGCTGTTTACAGAGCCTTTTTCTGCAATTAGCCCGGCTTGCCCAAACCGAGAGCCACGGACTTGACAGCTACTTTCAAACATGGCTTATCGCTTCAAATCTCGGGCATTCTTCATGATGATTTGATCCGCAGTCTTATTCTTCCCAGGCCTTGCTGGATCGCACTGTCAAGTTGACGACGTTTCATGAGACGATCTGATTTTTATGCCCTTTTAAATACCTTCTTTTCGATCTTCATATTCTTATATACCCAGTTGTCAAGCGTGTGGTGCAGTTTTTGTATCTAGGCACGATTTGCATCTTTCTACTTCAGCGTCTCGAGCGTGGACAATAATGTCCTTACGCACTCCCATCTTACGCATCATGCGACGCCGCACAGCATCGATTTATCTAGTTCTTCACAGGGATAAAATTATGATGTAAGCATATACACTCTGGCAAATGGGTCAATATCCGTGTTATCATCGTTTACAGTCGAATCGTGTCTTCGAGCGACGGCTGTGAGGCGATACTAGGTACATAGCTATCGAATTTGCAGCCTTACCAAGACCGGACTGACGTGATATCACTGGGCTAGCCGGGGCTAGTTCCATGGTTAGCCACCCATCAACGGCGGTTTACTCCGGCGCGAAAACAAGATTCATTTTGGCTGCAGCTCCGAGAATAGAACGAGGGACTGACTGTCACTGCGGTCAATAGATTGTGATTAGGCTACTCAAGCGTCATGGCTTTGTGTGAGCTCTCCATACAAGTTAGATGGGGTAGGTATTGGATTTGTGGTAAATAAGTGAGGAACTGGTCTGCCAAAGCTGCAGGCACAAGGCTGCAGACAAGGCGCATTATGCGGGATGTTGCTGGTGGTGGTGGTGATGGTGATGCCTGCCCATGCTATAATAATACAGCACTGCTAGTCACCGGTGGGCATTCAACCTCCCCTTTCCCCTAGGCTGTAACCTAACTGGGTAGAGTCTTAGACTAACTTAGAACTCACTGCCACTCCGTCATCGCCCAGCAAATTCAGGGGGAAGAGTGGAAAGAGAAAATGGCGGCTGGTGGTGCGATGGGACGAATCACGTGGCAGGACCCCCACTGCCCGCCCGCCGCCGCTGGAGCGCAAAGCACAACAAGTAAATGCCCCTCTATCTCCATCTCGGCTCTCATTCCCCTCTCTTTCCCCCCCCCATTATTACCACTATTCTTCCCTTCTCAAATCCCCCTCACCCTCACCCTCTCTCTTCCAATTTCTTCCGCCTTTCTCGAACATTACCTTAGTAGGTTGTTTCAGTGTTCGGTAAGTCGCCCTTTCAGTTCCTCCTCAGCTCGGGGCTTTCTTACTGCAGTCACCGACCGTGCTGTGACGACAGAGGACAAATAGGGGAATCTGGCCAACTGACATCGCGTGCCTGCGCAGGTTATCCACTAGCCCACTTCCCCCATCTCAACTCTAGAACTATAATCTATCATGTCGGTAAGTACATTCTTCTCTTGGTTGGCTATAATCCGAACTAAGCTGATCCCTTCACTATCTTCTAGCTCGCATCTGGGTATGTTGATACTTGGCTCCGTCGGGAGTGGTGGGGAGCTCGGTGTCTCCGGGACCACGCTGACATCGCCGTGCTCAAACAGTGTTTCCATCGCGGATGAGTGCATCACTGCATTCAACGACTTCCGCATGAGCGGAGGCTCCAAGACAGACAAGACCAAGTTCATTATTTTCAAGATCGCCGACAACAAGAAGGAAGTCGTCATCGACGAGTCCTCCAAGGACGAGGACTACGAGGTCTTCCGCAGCAAGCTCGAGGCTGCTAAGGACAGCAAGGGTAACCCCGCTCCCCGCTACGCCGTCTATGATGTGGAATACGAGCTCGGCGGTGGTGAGGGCAAGAGGTACGATGATCGCCTGCGCTCCTTGCGGGTCCGCCGAAGCATAGGTTTCCTAACTTTCTTTTCCCTCGATACAGAAGCAAGATCATCTTCATCTCTTGGGTCCCCAGCGACGCTCCCACTCTCGTATGTTTCCAATCGTAACCTGTTTCTGGTGGCCGACGGACTTCCAAATACTGACGCTGGTTCCCTAGTGGTCCATGATTTACGCCAGCACCCGCGAAAACTTGAAGAACGCCCTCAACATCCACAACTCCATCCACGCTGACGACAAGTCCGACATTGAGTGGAAGACCGTCCTGGCCGAGGCCAGCGGTGGCAAGGCTGGTAAATAAATGACGGTGCCGGCTGGGTCCGGACCAGGGTAACTATGCTGGTTGTTACATCGCAACGCATCATCTCGAATCGCGGCGGAACCAGGAACGAAACAGTTCTCTCCGAGTCTCCTGGCACACTCTTAGTTCAATATGAGATTGTTACGACCTGACTCTGCTTTGTTCTCTTTTCCTATACATAGTTACCGTATAATCTTGAGCGATTCTGGCAATTTGTGGGGTTGACACCGACTGGGCAGGGATTATTCGTGCTTGTTTGTTCAGCGTTCGCGTGTACAGAATAGGTTACTGTTGGCCAGCATGGAGAAGGACTGGCGCGGTGGGTGTAAAGTCAACACTCGGAATTACATCCGGGTCATCAAAAGTCGGAGATCGTGCTCTCTCCCTTCTCTTGCGATGGCGTTGTAAAGTTGTCAAGTAATATTGTTGAGGTTAGGGATGTGACTGACGTAGCTGACGGCTCTCTTGAGCGTGCGGAAGAAATAGAATTCCGAGTTCCCTTCAATTCTGACAGTCCGGGATACAAGAGTATCGTTACTAGTCATAGTATTCAGTAGAATAAACCTGCACTAGAGCGCCAAGCCAAGAAAACAATCATGATCACGGGTGAAACCCCTTATCAATATCATGGACATCGCCTGATGTTCTTAGTTCTTGGGGGACAAGAGGGATTCAGTCAGACGGGCAAAGGCGGACGGGCGGTCGGGACGGGTTTTGGTCACAGGCCAATGAGAGTGGTGGTAAAATGGACTAAGCTAGCCTGTCCGGATACTCGACTTTCCACCTCAAACCACAGATCATCGAACGTCTTCGTCCCCCCCCATCGCGACTCTTTCGTCACCCCTCCACTCCACCATCCCCAACGTCCACCATCCTCCTTTATCGAGGAATCGCTCCTCTTACTCCTGGAGAGTTGATTTCTATCGTTGATTGATCGCCAGACGCCCCGTCATCCATCGCACACAATGTTCGCTCAGTCCATCTCTCGGGCCGCTGCTCGCAGCTCGGCCATGCCCACCGCTGCCATTCGCTCCTACCGCACGGCCTCGAGCCCAATGGCTTGCCTGAACGCTCGTCCCCAGGCTGAGAAGCAGACCATTGCTTCCCAGCAGACCCGCGCCGCTTCCGAGCATGCCATCTCGAATCCCACACTCGCCGGTATCGAGAAGCGCTGGGAGGCCATGCCCCCCCAGGAGCAGGCCGACCTGTGGATGCAGCTCAGAGACCGCATGCAGGCTGACTGGCACCAGTTGACCCTCCAGGAGAAGAAGGCTGGTATGTTCTCTCAGTCCGCCTGAGATGGCATTTTTCTGGTTGCTGGCTGGCGCAGACAGAATTTTGCTGACGGGTTCTGTTCTTCCCCACAATATAGCCTACTTCATCTCTTTCGGTAACCACGGTCCCCGCACTCTGCCCCCCAAGGGTGAGGCCTTCAGAATCTTCGTCAAGGTCCTCCAGTACTGCTCCATTGGCGTCGGTCTCTTCTACGCCGTCCACTACTTCGCCAAGCCCCTCCCCAAGACCATGAGCAAGGAGTGGCAGGAGGCTAGCAACGAATACGCTCTCGTAAGTCCCTCATATGCATTCTGCGCTCCTTTGTACCCCCCTTTTCTTCTTCGAAAGGAGGGATCCCTGATCTATACGAATAATTACTGATCTGGTTTTTTCCACCCAACAGCGCGAGAAGATCAACCCCATCTACGGCATCAGCTCCGAGGGTTATGAGGGCAAGGGCTTCGTCCAGAGCCCTCCCGCTGAGAAGCAATAAATTCCCGGACAAATCCTCGGGATTGAAGGTAGAACGATTGGACGAGTTGCAGGCGGCAGCGTTGGCTTGATTGATGGTTAACCCGACTCCTGCCTGCTCCGATACGCACTCTCTGATCATGGCGGATGGGTGACCATCCATCCAGCTTGGACACCTGCTCTCGCACATGTTTTGTTTGTCAAACGTCAAGCCCAAAAAGACCCCTCTGTACCTCGTACTGTGCCATAATCAATGTATCTCCTTTGTAGCCTTAGATCGGGGTTTTTGGTTTTCCTTTTTAGTTTTGGGTTTTCTGTGTGTAAGGTACAGTACCTGTGCAAGTGCCATCAGGTTGTCCGATTGCCGAAGAAGTTATATCATATAAAATTGATAGGGCTTTTTTTCCCACATGTGTATACTCAATGGCTACAGGTGAACCAAGAAACCCGATATCAGATTTCAGGGAAGACGGCTCCTACCACTAGCTGGGTTGGTAGGTGCTTTGAGCTCCTACCTAGTACCCAGTAATGTAAAATGTGTGCGGCTCTAACTGGAAACGTCATTGTTACAACAAGACCGGTACGGACGAGTACAAAGCTAAGCGATATTTTATCGGGTTGCATGCAATTGAGTTTTTTGGATTTCCCAGCCTCATCCAACCATCGGTCTAGGTTGCTAGGGAACTACGAGCTTTGATTGTTCCCCTACGTGTCGTCGTTATCGTATCAATTTAAGATCGAGCTTGCTTTTCGAGACACCGCTAGACCGAGGAGCTTGGGGCCAAGGAGCGAAGAGACAGATGGGTTGAAATTGAAAGGAAGAAAACCGGAATGGGAAATCACGGGAACACGTCAGATTTTTTTTTTCGTTGCGGTTGCGGTTTGTCCGATACCGTCGCTTGTTTTCTGGCTGTATGGATGAATGGATGCAATGCGGTGCGTACATGTCTTGTTATGTTGTCGGAGCAACCACTTGCTTTTCAAGGTACATACATGTAGGGGAGAGGTTTGGGAAGTTGGATGAGATGAATGAAGGTGGTAGATGACAATAAGAGAATTGAGAATACTTGTTTGTAAAATAGAATCAAGCTCATTCGTATTTAAACATAAAGTAGGAAGTATATATCCATCGTTGAAGGGCAATGAAGGAGAGGGGATGGGGGGGGGCTGGCCGGGGTTCCAGTTGGTAAGTTAATAGATAGTATCCGGGCTGGTGCCAAGTCCGATCCGCCATTTTGTGTGCGAAACTGCCCTTGATGGATTGGGATTGTTACCCCAACTCAGGGCACGGTTTGGGTTCGATCATGGTTGCCAGGTGCGCAGCTGGACTACTCGGACGGACGGGAAGAGCAATGAACATGGATGGTTACGGAGTAGTTAGTACGGAGAGTCAAGGTAGTGAAAAGAGGAGAAGGCGGAAATGGATTGGATTAGCCTGAATGGACCAGGTAACTTAAGGTACATGTTCTCATACATGTACCTTTGTATACACAGTATAGTTTACATCAGGAGCTACTTGCCCTTTCTACCTGGTCATTACTAGCTGTGGTCTGCACAGCAGCCAGTCAGTCTGCGACTCTGCATGCATGCATGCGTAATTGATGCACCTCCGGTAAGTACCAATACCCGTCCAGTACATACTGTACTGTACAACTGGCCAGAAAACACACACAAAAGCGCGTTGCTCGGTACATCACGGGATCGTCGGCAAAACCGCCCCGGAAAGGCTAAGCCGGACACAATCGGCCAAGCGTGGGTTCCACCTCAACTGAACCTGACCTCCTCTCTGTCTCTCTCTCAACCTCTTCCCTTCCCTTTTCCTCTCTTTCTCCCTCTCTTTTCCCTTTCCCCCCATCCTCCCCTTTGACCTCCCTCTATACCCATTTCGCTCTTCAACACCATCATCATGTTCAAGAGGTATACTACTACTCCAGACCCTGTCCATACCCCCCAGCTTAGACCTTCCCCCATCCCCCACCATTACTTTTCTTTTTCCTATTGTTGTTCCATCCTTCCCAATGATCAAAGAACCTTGAACTAACCTTGGGCTTGTTCCTTCTTCCACAGCGGTCTTGCCCGGACCTTCGGGAGGGCTGCTTTTGCTCGGCCTACCCCCGTTGCCCGTCGCGCTTTCCAGCCCAAGACCAACGGTCTTCCCTCCCTTGCCCGTCTGGCCAGCACTGAGGCTTCCTCCGTTGGCAAGATTCACCAGGTCATCGGTGCCGTCGTTGACGGTATGTTCCAACTTGCTCCCTGCCTTCCCGCTGCCGAAAAAAAATAAAAAACCCTGCCGGCGGCTACGCGAAAATCTTTTCCGACCGCGATACCATCCCCAATTCCATCAAAAACGAATCAATGGCCATCAAAGAACATAATCTCTGACTCCCGACTACAGTTAAGTTCGACGGCGAGAAGCTCCCCGCCATTCTCAACGCCATTGAGACCGAGAACAACGGCCAGAAGCTCGTGCTTGAGGTTGCTGTATGTCCACCACCACTACCACCACTTACCAGTTCGACATATATATCACATCAAAGCTTTTGATAGCTAACCCCAGCATTAGCAACACTTGGGTGAGAATGTCGTTCGTACTATTGCCATGGACGGTAAGCTTCACCTACCTTGCACCACCAGCCACCGTGGAAAGATCTCGATATTCGACCTCCTCCTTCGTCGTTATCCCTTCCAATGCGTGGGCTCGGTGTCAACATCTGTCGTGCTGGTTCCCTAACGCGTCTGTTCCCAGGTACCGAGGGTCTGACCCGTGGTGCTGCCGCCCGTGACACTGGTGCTCCCATCACCATCCCCGTCGGCCCTGGCACTCTCGGCCGTATCGTCAACGTCACTGGTGACCCCATTGACGAGCGTGGTCCCATCAAGGCCGACAAGTTCCGTCCCATCCACACTGAGGCTCCTGCCTTCACTGAGCAGTCCACCACTGCTGAGATTCTCGTCACTGGTATCAAGGTCGTCGATCTCCTTGCCCCCTACGCCCGTGGTGGTAAGATTGGTCTCTTCGGTGGTGCCGGTGTCGGTAAGACCGTCTTCATCCAGGAGTTGATCGTAAGTTCTTGTCTGGCCTCGAATTTCGCCCGGGAACGTGGACTAATCCACCTTGCAGAACAACATCGCCAAGGCCCACGGTGGTTACTCCGTCTTCACTGGTGTCGGTGAGCGTACTCGTGAGGGTAACGATCTGTACCACGAAATGCAGGAGACTGGTGTCATTCAGCTCGAGGGTGAATCCAAGGTCGCCCTTGTGTTCGGTCAGATGAACGAGCCCCCAGGTGCCCGTGCCCGTGTCGCCCTTACCGGTCTGACCATCGCCGAGTACTTCCGTGACGAGGAGGGTCAGGATGTGCTGCTCTTCATTGACAACATTTTCCGTTTCACCCAGGCCGGTTCTGAGGTGTCTGCCCTTCTGGGTCGTATCCCCTCTGCCGTCGGTTACCAGCCCACTCTGGCCGTCGACATGGGTGGTATGCAGGAGCGT